GAAACTCTCACATTGATGATGATGATCTTTGGTTTTCAGTCTTCTCTTTTCTATGCTTTTTTGTTATTTTTATGTGTCATAGTGACAGTTGCCTGACTTTATATTTTAATGTATTTTGTTTCTATAAACTGAAAGTTGAGGTGGGTTATGTTTCACTTGAGTTTAATTGGGATAAAAAAGCAGCATACACATTCTTCAGCACACTCTTTTTTTGCTCATTTATTGGTCAAAAGCAAAGCTCTGTCTTCTCACAGCTCCTGTGTGAAACATGGAAACAAAAAACTAAGTGTGGCTTTGCTTGAGTGTTTTTCTGCCTTCAGTTCAGAGCTGGAGTTGATTTCCAGCTCAGTGCTGCCACCTGCTGGATCATTTTATAAACTACATGCAGAGGCTTCAACAGCTGCAGAAACTAAAGAACACCTGAAAAGACTGGACTTCACAAACAGCTGATTTTCATCTTTGCTCTCTGATTTCAGGCTCTTTCTAARGTCTTTGTGTCTGTCCACTCAGTGTCCAGTTTATTAGGTCCACCTGTCCAATCCATTTAAAATGTGCTGAGACACAGACTCATCTGCTGCAGTTTGAGATTAATCCTTTTTAAATTMATTTATTGTTTAATCTCAGTTGCTTCAGCTGTATAGTATATATTCACACTTTATGAATTTAACCAGAAGCATTTTTAACCAAAAATACATGTGTGAATAATATAAAATACCATCATGACCTAAAAACTGGATTAGCACTAGAATGGGACTGCATGTGCTCTTTAGCTTAACTTTAGCTCAGTATTTCAGTTTACTCTTGCATCTCATGACACATTTACTCTGTTTAACACAGATTTTGGCCATGAACCCACGTCTTTACAGAACTTACGAGCACCTCTCCTCAGTTTGCTTCTATCATTCAAACTCACAAAGACATAAAAACAGTTCAGGTTCCTTACAGCAATCCTTTTACTTGTTTCCTTTCTGATTTTGACACTGAACTGAATAAAATAAACTGAAAAGTTCACACTGGCTATAGAGTAGTACAATTTACACTAATTTTGAGTGGGACCAAATATCTGAAACAGATTTAAAGTCAACCCCAAGGTGGAGTATTAGGGCTACATAAGATTTTGTTTTTCTAATTACAAGATTATGAGATTAAGTCATAATATTATGAGAATAAGACTTAATTCTTGTAATATTATGACTTTAATCTTGTGTCCCACAAATTGGGGAAATTGATGATGATATTTTCTGGCTGAACAGAGTTCTGTTTATTATTTTCTGTATAGGCTCCATGGTCATTTTTGATGCTCTTATTGCTTCAGTCTCTCTAATTCTCTCACCTGTCCATCTGGCCACGCTCAGTTTCTTTATAAAATACATTAAAAAGTGCTGAATTCACCACATACTGAAGCTTCACATTATCAAATACATGTTTCACAAATCACACACTTGGTTTTAAATATTSTGCAATCAGTGTAGAATAATCTAATCCAGGTTTGAAGTCTCTACATGGGGTGCTGTTTGTAAAGTTACACAGTCAAAAATTACCACCAGTATTTTTGTTTTATTTAACCTTTTATAAGAAAAAAAAAACAGATTTATTTTTCAAAGTCAGTTTTTCACCATATGAT